TTAGTAACAATTGCGCAATTTTTTGCACGCTGACCGTGGCATTTTGTGGTTGTGATCGCAGCTTCGAATTTACGACTGTTTTCCGAACATATTCGGCACAATTCGGCACGCTTTCGGCGTTTTTTATAGTTCAGTGCTTAACTGGATAATTATACTATTGAACAAGGGAAATAGTTCGGAAGTTTTTCCTGCTTTTGGCACGAATCCACATCAATATGAGAACAATTACGAAAGACATTATTCAAATTGTTTGCTATAGACCTATATTTGCTCAATTTTTCTGTATTTCAAATAATTAATATATACTTCTTAAAAATTCGTAAAATATAATTTATTTAATCCAGTATCCAAAAAAGGTGAACCCCGGAAAATCCTATGTGGGAAAAATCTGACCGTGGCTCGAGCCATGTTTGCCACGGTCTGGATCCGCGCCTGCTTGCCAGGGTTGAATGGCTCATATAATAAGCTCAATCCACACAATGGAATACTAGAAACTTATCCACCCTGAAAATCTAGTAAATTTGCACATCTAGAAACTTATCCACCCTAAAAATCTAGTAAATTTGCACATTAGGATAGTAATATTCAAAACAAGGCAAAATGAGTTTTTATAAAATGAGTTTTCAGTGAATTTGATATTGTGAATCTAATAATGAATGTTTATAAAGAATTCATAAAGAACAGAGAAATACTATGGAGGACAGGAATTTTTAATGTCCATCATTCAATTCTAAAATATGGTATCCCATGGGCATGGATATTAGGATACTGCAAATTGCCAACTCTGATCATGAATTGCCATTTATTCCAAGACCTATATGGTTTACAGATGTTCCTTACATCTTTATTTCAATGCTGATAACCTGCAACCAATTGTTAATTCAGAAGAAGCCAATGCTTTTTGCTTAACCCATTGAGTGGCAGCACCCCCCCCTTGATGAGTAAAATCATCTGGTGTTAGACAGAGTAAAGTAATAAAGTAGGGTGCATCTGGGCACATTGCCACTTAAAGGGGTACAATCATCCTAATGTTCTCAACTATTTCCCTTGCTCTCTAACCATGAGAGAGAAAAAAGATCTACACTCTTTGCACAGAGGAAATTTATGCCATTTAGAGAAGGGGTTTGTGGGTTTTTGTGATAACCATTAATCTAAATTGTAGTCTGTGATAAAGCTGCCATAGTCCTTAATATACAATATGACATCAACTTTTATTTAAAATTGTCAGCCATAAGAGTTCAACATCAGCTGAGTCATAAAATCTTGTGAATCTGCATATATAAAAATATTAAAAAGTTCATTTTTCTCCATTTAGCTTGATTGATTGATATGTTAATATTCATAAAAGCTTACAAATATAATTATTAATTGTGTTCATATTTTTTAGCTGAAAGGAAAGAAATGAATGGCTATGGTCATGTTGATGGACTATGGAATCCGAAGTATATTACATGTACTTTTATTTACAATATTTTGTGTTTGTAGTTGAAAATTGAATTTGATTATTCTTCCTCTCCTTATTCAACACTAAGGAATATTCAAGCAGGGTCGCCAGGGTGCATTAAAACACACTTGTCTAATTCCATGCAATTTGCTAAGTATAGTTCGGAAAAACATGATTCAAAAATTCTATTACTGACTGTAGAGTTATCTGTTGGATTTCCACAAAATCCTACAAATGATGATATTTGGAATTTATTCAATTCCTTTGACTTTTGTCCTTTACTAAAAGTTTTTTTTATCATAGTGATGATCTTTGTTTATAAGCTTTCAGTAAAAGCATTGCAACAATTCATTGTAATAATATCACAGAACCACATGAAAAGTGTCACTATCTTCATGTTTGAAGCAATCTATGCCAAATTTTACATAGGTATGGATCTTCCCTCCCTCAAAACTATCAAACATTTTTTAATTTGTCTGAACATGTGTCAAGGCCATCTGTAACAGTTCCTTGTAACATCGTGAAGATACAGTATATGAACACTTGCCCCTCATGCCCCAAGCATTGGATTAATGATAGTATGAAATGCTTATCCACTTATAGCTGAACATTGTTTGTTTTTGATAACTGAATTTTGTGTACTTCAGATACATTATTAAATAAATCTCTTTTCCACCTGTAAAATAAGCAGCAATACTTGGCAGCAATACATAGCAGCATATTTCCACAATGAAAGAACTGGGTGAGCTACAAGTTGTAAGGTTTGCAGGCAAATTTAAAAGTGCAGTGTTTTCATATAATTCACATGAATCTAAAACTACAGAACTCCAAATATGATGTAAAACATGATTGAAATGTTTGTCCTATTAGTGCCTTATGGTCGTTTTGTCCCCTTGCCGTTTTGTCCCCTTGCCGTTTTGTCCCCTTGCTGTTCAGGGGCGGATCTAGCTTAAAATGTGACTGTATCATATTCCTAGGTCTTGCATAACTAGGGGGTCCGAATTTTTTGAAATTTGAACCCCGGAAATGCCAATTCCTGCGTTCTGAGCCCATGATTCTGGCCTAAAATTTGGCCTTAACAAGGTCATATTTTAAACACAAAGTAACAAAAAAACACACAATAACTCTTCTTGGTATCAGTGTTCAAGTTTCTGTTTCATGAAACGTGGCTGGGGGCGTTTTGACATAGAAAAGTCGGCTTTCGCGACTGAGTATATTAATATTCTCGGCCGGTCCCTATTTAAATTAATAACATACTGCACGCGCAATCCCGCAATATGACTTTACAGATTAATATCTTCGGTTAGGCGAATGCTATGAAAACAAAAATACTACCGTTCGGTTCATTGAAAGAATAGCTCCTAATTCCTAACAATAGTTTTAGTCAATAGGCCTATAGCAATTTATGAACTTTGAGAGGTCAAGCAATATCATATATTTCACTATATTACTCAATTTTCTCGAACAATGTAAACTAGCCATACCTTTCGCCAAACATAACTTCGGCCCCTTCGGACATATCCTTTTCGTAATAGTCTTGTTGTAATTGGCATCCAGTACACTATTTATAAAGTGTTATTTCAAGGACGTCTTCTGAAATTATGTAAGGCCATCACTAACTCACTCAGTTACGTTAGATGAAATGCGGCTGTTTAATAGCAATATGAGACGAAGTTTCCGAGCGGTCACAATTATTTAATTTCTTGCGCAATCAAAATACAGCCACAGTATCGGAGGGTATCCGGCGTCATAGATACACGTCCTGTGATTGGCTGGATACCCTCCAGGGTATCCAAATACCTCATTAAGTTACTATTTTTAGTAACATTTGAACCGCGGACCGTATCAGAACATCGCAGACGCATTTGAAAACATTTTCCCGATCGGGTTACGTAACGTCGGGTTATGCCTTCGGAAAGCTCTCGGCTCATCTTCGTGGAAAGTAGTTCAACTTTAAAAACACGTCTAATGTTGCATTTAGAGGTGTAAATTTAAAAATTTACGAAATAATTTGCCCTCGTTCATCTTAGTAAACTCAAATTTTCACTACTTTTGTAAACAGAAATGAATTGCGTGAAAATATATTAATATTGAATTTTCCCCCAAAACTATTTTAGTATGCACAATCAGAAAAATCTGACCGTATCTTGAGCTACACTCGATACCCCCTGGATCCGCCCCTGCTGTTTTGTCCCCTTGCCGTTTCATCCCCTTGCTGTTTCGTCCCCTTCAAGTTTCGTCCCCACACTAGATACCGTTTCATCTACAACCTACTTCCTTAATAGTATATATCTTACTTTTTGAGATTGCATCTCAGTGGATTGTATGCCTGGATAATACACATTTTTGTATTTAAATTCCGAAACTTTGAAATGTAACTTGAATATTTGGCTTTTATTTCACAATATTAATATTGCTGCTGTCAGTGACTGGGGATGAAAGTAAACACAAATTATACATTTCAGATCGATCTCAGCATATCTACCTTAGCATAACCTCGGCATATGGACAATACATGATAACAAAAGCCATCAAAAAATGAAAATTGCCTGGCAAAGGGCACCGGTGTCACAGTGATACAAACATCCCCGTGGCTTTAGTATCCCCACACTAATATCCCTAGGGATAAAAGTACCCCCGGGGGGATACCTACAACACTAGAAGCGAAAGGATGCAATATTCAAAATATGAGCAGGAGGAAAGTCATTTATCTGTGCCTTTATTTTCTGGTAAGTATTTACGTTTTCACAGTAATGCTGCAGTAAATGTGTAAAATGTGATTGTGCTTATGTTGTAAGATAGCATGTTTGCGTCGCAATAATCCGTATGTTTATTGACATAGCACAATATAGGCTACGCCAAAAAGCATAGTATTTTGAACAGTTAACAGTAACCTATGCATATTCTTAACCTAAAGTCTAATTACTCTTAACATTAATATTAATCCTAATGCACAGTAGTACAATTGTACTTGTTATTTCCTGACACTACATTCTTGACTGCACTTCCAATTCATATCTTTTCTTTTAAAGACCATCTTCAGGACTTTAAGACACTTCCTGTGGTACCACTTGTGACAACTGGAACACTCTACCATATCATCTTCTTGCTTGACATATGGAAGGTGACACTTACAGTAGATTGGTAGAAGAAATGTCTTGGAAGGCTGTACATTAGACATCCGTTGGACAGATGGAAACATATCTATGTGCCATTAGTAAAGCAATTCCACAAGTAACTCCGAATATTACGTATTTGGAAAATCATTTTGCTTGGATCTTGCCCATAGCACAGAGCAGCAGCAAAAGCAATGGCAAATATACCACAATCAGACCCGTTCATTTGCTGTGTGACTGGTTCAACCATGATTTTAATAGTATCAGCAGACTCGATGTATAGAATACTGGCAATTTGCATCTTGGTGAATGTATTAACTCCCAAATGCATGCTGTCATAGATCTTAATGGCATTCATTTCATTACAATAAATGTTACTGACACAGATCCAATGCTGTGCACCTGTGTGAAGAATTTGTACAAAGTTGCCTTTCATAACATCAAACTGTTGAAGTGGGCCAAGAGTGATCTTGAACATTTGGAAATTGCTGCTTTAGTAGGTGTTGTGCTTTCCCAATTTGAACATCTGTTAGCCAGCGATTCTTCATAATTATATCTTCATCCTCTTTGGTTGCTTGTACTGGATAGTTTGGTTTCTTTTCCTTGTTTGTGGACCTAGCATTTGAGTCTTTTTCTTTGACAATCATACACTCATCTTTAAAATGGGTTAGATGGATAGGATCTGGTTTGGATTTCTTTGCTGGTATCTTTCTCTTGGTTGACTTTGTCCTTTTGCTTGCTCTCTTTTCCAAGATCGTTTCAAAGCTCTTTTGTACAAGATATTTTCCTCCATGTGCCAGGTAATACTCAGCTTCACAATGCAAAATCTCAAAAAAATGACTTGCTGAGGATTATAAGGGCTTCAGGCAAGATAACATTTGTAAGGAGATTCAATTTACTTACTTTGACTTACCACTTCTTACCTTGAATTGCAGTTCCACTGTTTTGTTGTTTTTCAAGGTAGGGCAATGATTCTGGAGGATTGTTGTCTTTAAGTGAGGTGACATAACTATCATTCCCGTTTGACCAAAAGTGTGGCATTGCTGTTAAGATCTAATGTGCTGTCATTAAAGAACATTAAACCTTGAGGAAAATTTCAAACGTATATCAATAGACAGGGAAGAATTGTGGCATGAAAGTGTTGCAATATTCAAGAATCCATCATTTGATGCTACGGCTGTTCCTATGGTGAAATTTCATGGTGAAGCGGGTATTGATGCAGGTGGAGTAAGGCGAGAGTATGGTTCCCTATTGTGTAAGGAACTGTTTTCAGCCAAAGTCAATCTTTTCGAAGGAAAAGATGATAGAAAGTTGCCCCTCTACTCAAGTGACAACATGTGCTCGAGAATGTTCCAGATTGCGGGAAAAATGATTTCCTACTTAATCATACATCTTGACATTGGTGTTCCGTGCTTGAGTCCAGCTGTGTATCATTATATTTCAACATTAACAATTGAACCTGACCGTTGTTCCATTGAAGATGTTGTAGACCTCGATTTAAAAGAGTTGATTTTAAAGGTACTGTACAGTAATTGGTTTATTTTTTAAATTTAATCCCTAGCCGACATGCGAGGGTAATACTCTACATCTGTTCAAGTATTCACACCCTCCTCCAACAGGCTTTTAACAAGTGTATTAATGGTATCATGTTATCATATTACTTGTGATAATGTACTGTAACTGTGATTTATGGAAAAGAAAAAGGAAAAATTTGCACATGTTAATCGTCAGCTAGGGCAAGGCGGTACCGTATTATGGTATTACTGCGATTTTCTTCTGATGCATGTTAACGATTTAGAGTTGTTACGAATGTTCGGAGTACCTCTATCTTCATCTGAACATTCATAACTTATCCAATCATTCACATCCATCAGAAGAAGAAAATCGCAGCAAAAATTGCAAGTGTAAACAAGCCTTTACCTAGGGGGTCATGTTGCCAAGTGTCACATTGGATAAACATTTCCATAGTTCTTTATAGTATTAATTGTTATTATTCATTATTAACTACAGTGTAATTAATACTACAGTACTTGTCACTGCAGGTGGATAATGCATCAAGTGAAGCTGATATTGATACGGTTATGGGAAATGAATTTTTCTCAAATGCCTTAATTACAGCAGGATGGTTACAACCACTCACGCTTGCCAACAGACATAGAGCAATGCAGACAATTATTGTATATGATGTCCTTATGAAAAGAAAGGCACCATTGGATCAGTTTATGCAATGAAACTAACGAAAAATGTATTATTTCCCTTTGCTACAAATTTTCATATTTAAAAAAAGAGAAAACTAAGTTTATCACGGTATTTGCATATAAATCTGTAATCGCTACAGAAAAAGTTACAGTAAATCACAACAAACTACAGAAGCGGAAGTGGGACACTTTTTGTATTTTCACTGTAAGGGCTGTTTATATGGAGCCAACAATGGAGGCGAGCTAGCATGGTGCCCAAACTAAGCTCCCTTTCCCGATATGATTTCCTTCCCATGTTTATGTGAGGCTTTTGAAGCTGGCTAATTCTCATAAACAAACCACTTACTTACTGTACTTTTGCAAGCTAATCTCACCATTTTAGCTTGGCTAATTGTGTTTTTATAGTAATTTCAAGCTAATGTAGCCACCCAAACTCTTGTGCCACTTGATGCAGCATCTCGCCTACATCTAGGCCAGCCTGGTTGGTACCCAAACACCATCACCTCGTATAAACAGCCCCTTAGTTATAGATTGACGTTAATTAATCAATAAGTAAAAGCAGTCAAAATAGGATCAATGTCTATTGAATTTAAAAATAAGCTATAATGTTTAAACACATATGTTTACTGGTGTAACAACTCCAATACTTGCATGTAGATATCAACCCCATAAACATCTGAAACCCTTACTGGATTTACAGTTTGGGTCAACTCTTGATAAAACCAAGTATGATAACGGTACTTCCGTTTGTGGAACCACCACTGATGCTATTTCATCATAAGAATCTGAACCATCAAATTCTTTGTTTGGATGAGGTCCATCATAATCGATGCCATATAGATGACCAGCCTTTAAAAAATAAGAAAAATATGTTTAATAATTATCTAGTTATTTCCATTATATAATGTGTAAAAGATGTATATACCTCAAAATTGCTAAACTCTTGAGCCACTCTTCTATCAGAATTGGTTACTTCTAACAGTCCACATCTCCAGAGCTGCGTTGGAGGATTACCTCTCTCAGTACTTAATACAGCTGCATTATATGCCTCCTGGAACATCTTAAGATTATGATCTATCCTTGGAAGAAACACATAGTGTAATGTAAAAATGTGTATCTCATTTGCACTGTCAAGTATTCCAGAATTCTCCATTTGATAAAATGGTTATAAAAGACAAAGGTACATCCCATAAATAGATCGCGCCATAGTCGTTTGATCCTCTGGTTGTGTACGCTATGCCCAGCAATGTGACTTCCTCTGTCTGGGCCATGCAATGGATGCTGTAACATATACCATATACAACTTTAGCGTTCTCGCCCCCCTTATCCGACCTGACACGGGATGGTAGACCATATTTCTGAACGGCATCTTCAAACAATTTCAATACTGTTAATGCTGTATTGTTTGTTAAGCATTGGAGGTAAACAATTATTCTAGAATATCCGTCAATACCACCGTGGATAACAAAACGCCATCTGGAAATTTTTTTTTTTATATATTACCGGAGTGTAATAAATGTACCACAGTAAGTACTTTAAACAATTATTGAATGAGGTCGAGCAGGATATGAGGAATTATTAAGGCCGAGGTTTGTGTTATCTGCGAAGGCTGAGGCAGATAACATAAACCAAGGCCTTAATAACTCCTCATATCCTGTGAGAACCAAATTCAATAATTGCTTTATTATTTATTTGTAAATATTCCGGACTCAAGAAGCTGCTGAAAATGATCGAGCGGATATGACGATTTCACCGACAGCTCTTAACCAATCAAAACTCTTGAATTATTTTCAATAAACAATAAATAAAAGTTATACTATCAAGGGTTAATACCTGATTAATTTATGGTTGCCGTCTATATGCCAAAGTGCAAGTGGACATGGGACTTCATAACTTCTCCTATGAGAGACATGTAATCGTAGAGCACGCATCATTGTTCCCTCTGGATTCACTCTTCTCATTGCTTCACATATTCGATTCTGTTGAACGATTATCCCCCTTGTTTTGAGAAATCCGGTCATTCTCTTGTATCCAGTTTCGGGAAAATCACATAAGATATTTTCTATAATGCCACCCAAATTTTCATTAGATATCTGATTGTATGCTGACCTCAATCTTATACCGAATTCATGTTGTCTCCTCTCAATAGTTCGCAAACTCACTCCGAGTATATTAGCAATAGCAGGAGAGGTAAACCCCTGTTCAACAAGGAATTCTAAATGTTCTCTCTGGATGTCACACCTAGGCCTTCCATGCACCCCAGTGAAGATTCTATCCACGCAATACGCATTGGAAACGGAATTCTCGCGGGAAAGTATGTCCTTCACCTCTCGAAGAAGAGTAATAACTCTCTCAAACACATTTCTCTCTGTGTTTTGTTCATCTGAAGTATATTGTACCAAAAGGTTGATATCTGAAGTATATTGTACCAAAAGGTTGATATCCAATCTGAACAGAATATATCCAATCTGAACAAATATCCAATCTGAACAAAATATAGTCGTAACTGACATCATCCTGGTTTCCTCTTGCTAAATGCTGTTCAATATCTACAATATAACTTCTAACTTCTTCTATAAGTTCTGAATTGGATGCCATGTTAAACATAAAAAATATTGCAAAGTGTATTATGTAAGTTGCAAAAATTATTTCAACTTTCAGTTTATAAATTATCATAAATTAGTTTATTAGTTCCTGCACTTCCGGCGATTTGGAAGTTGGAACCGAATTTGGGATTGCAGAACCGAATTTGAGATTGCAGAACCGAAGTTGAGATTGCAGATCGAATTTGAGAATATTCCATGAATTCTATTCTATTGTTTTGAATTATGTTTTAAATTATGTAGTGCTATTTCAAATCCTTTAATGTTTAGTTAAATTGTGTTCTGTTGTTTCAAATTCTATTGCGTTGTTCTAAATTTTGTTTTGTTTAAAATTATGTTGCGTATTTCTAAATTCTGTCCTGGAGATGCAAATTTTGTTGTGCACGTTTAAATTCTGTTCTAATAAAACAACAATTTGGAACAACAGAATTTAGGTTCACCACATCCGAATTTGAAACAGGATTTTGGCAGTCATGACCCCTCATATTTGTAAACATGCAAATTTTTAAATATTTATGTTGATTATGATTTATCTTTATAATATTAGTAGAATCATACTACCATTACAAATGCTCTATAATAGGCTAGTAATTTACACATATGTCAACATTTTGAACCTTGGTTGTTGTAGCAGCTTTCAGCTCGATTGAGCAATAACAGGAACTTTTATTAAGCCCAACTGGCGTTTTTATTGTTATTGAATAAAGAATAATGCTGCTGTTTCTATGTACTCACCATTTCAACTGTTTCTTTATAGTAATCTGGCCAGTAATAGCGCTTTCAAATCTTGTTTATCATATTATCCCTTCCAGGAGCAGAATGACATCATCTTCTCGAATGACAAGTCTTATATTTAATGTCCCTTCTTTTGTTTTATCAAGATAAAACAAGTTTGAATTGGTGTCAACTTCAAATTTTTTCACAAACTGCGCAATATCGCTTTTTCTTGCTTTGTAAAATTCGACGGATACACTTGGTTTTTCACATATCCCAGTAGATTACCATATTTAATTGCATCCATTGTGAGCAAAGGAAGTTTCCCGCCAATGTTGTTTCCCGCGAAATGTTAGTGATGTGGGAATGTAGGGTGGTTCTTTAGGGATATGCAGAACACAACCGCCATATTGCTGGGGATACACATATCCCTAGTGAGGTGAGCATGGGGATACACATATCCCTAGTGAGGTGAGCATGGGGATACACATATCCCTAGTGAGGTGAGCATGGGGATACACAAAAGATGGGGAAACTCATATCACTGTGACACGGGCTCGTGTATAAAGCATGTTGACAATTTTGATTTTCATCATTATAATTATGATTTAAATAAATACAAATTTACAAATACAGATAATACAATAATTTATATCAGTGCTTATAGAGATGATTAAATAGATACAAATAATACTAGAATTATATAAGCATGTGTTCATTCCTGCTATCTTGCTTATGTGTTTATCGCGTGCCTAATTAATTATGCCTTAACCTACTGATGGTTGGGCGATTCAAATAGATTGCAGCTTTCAGCAATTGCTTTTCTGCAGGTTGTTGAAAGCATCCCATAATTGAAAAAGCCTGGCCTGAACCAATCGATATTTCTTTCGTTGAATTTTTTTTAAAGTTTCGTTCAGAAACAAGGCGAATTCGGGTGGAGGTCAAGTGGGCTTCTTCGTGCAACAAGTTGATCAGTATATACATTGGTAGTCCACACTGTCCATTTGCTCTGTGGTGAAGACCATGATGCCAACCCTCTACATCATTATTTGTTCCCACAGAGAACATGAATACACTCCAAGTGCTAGGCGACCAGATCTCATTTTCAATCCAGGTGTTTTGAACATACAAAACTAAGTGCAGGAGTGGTTGCTAATTCAGCCAACTTTTCAAACATCACCTTGATGGTTTCATGGGGTAGAAAAGGCAGCGCCATGAGCCTCCTTACAAAACTGTTTGCTTTGTCATCAGTATATGCAGTCTGCAAGCAGCTGCACCTTTCTCCATACTGCTTGCGTCCAATGGAATGTGCAACCTTTAACCTCAATGTTGGGCATCTCTTTGCGAAAGGCACGCCAAAGGGCTTGCTCGAAATCGACGGTGACTCGTTGAATGCTCTGTGTTGGGATAATCTCAAGCATTTTTCTTAAGACGCTAATGTAGTCTGATTTCTTGCAGCAGACATAAGGACAAACACCAACAGAACCTCAGTGTATAATGCATTATAATTTAAACTTTAGTACTTTAATACAGTACTTCTATATGCAACAACTACACTGGAAAATTTTTTTTAAATCCATAGAAGGCCATAGAATGGAAATTGTGTGGACCTTTATTGGAAATAGAATGGATTTTGATTATCCATAATAATTGTACCGTGTCGAAATAGTATGAATATACTATGGATTTAGTAGTGCAATAGACCTTTCCGGTAAGTCCACCTTAAATCACACCTAAATGGAATGGAGTTCAAGTTTTTTTCTCACTGGCACGTAATTACCAGAAAAGTCTATTGTAAATTTCATAGTATGGATTTCCCATTTTTCCCAGTGCTACGTCCTACTTTATTTACTTATGCTAACCCCATTCCCACTACATTCACTCAACCCTTTATTAATGGCACTGTCGCCATATGTAAACTGATTCTAAGGTGATATTATTATCAATATCACCTTGGAACTGAGTTTCCTAGAATCAGTTTCCTTAGAATCAGTTTTCCTAGACCTATATAGCAATTTGTTTTCCTGGAAGCGCACTGTAGGTGAATGTTTGACAAAAGTTTCCTAGAATCAGTTTCCTTAGAATCAGTTTTCCTAGACCTATATAGCAATTTAATTTTCATGTAAATCATTAAAGGGGATAAATAAATTTGGATTTAAATAAATATGTACGCACCTGCTTCACATTGTCATCTTGACGAACAAATGCATTTATTGTGAACAGCTGCGAAAAGGGATGATGGCACAACTTAAATGTGCCATCATACCATTGCTTGGCTTGGGATAGGTGTGCCAGCTGGTCATTTGAAGCAAATATGAGATGTCTTCTTTTGCGCACATGAATATCTGCCCTAAAGAAGTCTTTCGGGATGTGTCCTTCCACAGCTGTCACATTGCAACCTTGCTGGCATTTTCTCACAGGTTTCTTACACCGAACACAATTATCCGCGTTAGACATCTCAACCAAAATTTTAAAAAGTGTATTTACATACTACGTCAGATTACGTGTTGTTGTTTTCCTGGAAGCGCACTGTAGGTGAATGTTTGACAAAAGTTGTCACCCATTTCATAGGCTCAGACACCCACGTAAAATGAGTCATCCTTAAAACTGCTACTAGTGCTAGTCTTGTTAATTCAGTCTTTGTTATCAGTATCCAATAAGACGCGAAGAGATTAAGCACGCGAAAGTACATTGTGTTTCAAAGGCTTTGTTTGTATTCAGCTATTCAAGTTTCAAAAACAAAAGACTGTTTTGGCTGTGAGGTATTTATTTTTGTTATTTATATGTGTGTCTATTCATTTAAAAAAATAACAGTGCCAGGGGATATATACGGATACGTTCGTAATGAACAAATAGTATATGGCGCCAAATTCACCCAACTAAACAAAGTTTTGTATATAGTAAAAAGGAAAGGTAAGTAAAACAGCTGATCAAAGTTGAAACAAATACAAATATATCTTATGTATATATAGTTTGTGAGAAACTAGGATGAAATAGTTTATAGATAAAATGGTACCCTAGTGTGGGGACGAAATGTAAAGGGGACGAAACAACTGGGGATGAAACAACTGGGGATGAAACGGCAAGGGGACGAAACGACCAGTTACCATCCCTACCATTACTGGGCATTAGATGATTGTAAGCCACACCAATTGTTATTTATTGAATAATTATTGTGTATAGTTGTTACACGTCTTTCAAGATTTATTATCATATTTAAACACTTGATCTTCTTAATACTTTGATAACAAACATGGAAGAGAAGTTTTAATTTCTTTCAAAGAGTCAGCAACGACCTTGATGTGTGCCCAGTGCAGTGAGATAGAATTATTGAGAACCTTGCGAAAGTTGACCTTTAAATTTAGAATATATCCAGTTTAAAGTTTTCTGGAATTACATGAACTATTATATATAATAATGTGAATATATACCATTGATGATACTACTTATATGAGAGAGAAATTCAAAGAGATGCATGAAGTCAGTCATTAGTGATATACAGTATAATATAGTTTGCTTAATTTTAAGATACATTGATAATTATAATGATATTATACAAACTGTCAAACACACCTGTAATCCGCATATAAAAGCATTTATTTCATGTATACAAAAACGACTGTGTATAAAGGCATTTAATTCCTGATTTCTACTATTGTTCTGTTGTTTGGTATGAGGGCAGTAAAAAAACTCGATAAGGTCATAAGATTATAAAATTCAAAAGGTTACTTGCATAATGTACGATCAAATGAGATATTCAAAACCTCGTTTGGCTACTGATTTACAAAAGTTTGTACAGTACAGATTGTTATGTCGATGATACCAAGCTACTGTTGACCTTTTCTCTACAGAATATGCAACGTGCTATTAATGACATGAATGAGGATTTAGTTAATGTGAGACACTGGTGCTTTGACAACTATCTTCTCATGAATGCAACAAAAACTAAACTTATGTTATTTGGAAGCAGAAAAATGTTACCCAAGATGGAAGTTTTTAGTGTGTCTGTATTGGGGAAAATATTGTTCCTGTTGATACAGCCAACGACCTGGGTATGATTTTGGATTCTCACCTTACATACGACGAAAACGTTATAAAAACTGTTTCCAAATGTATGTCTTACCTGGCGCAGGCAAACAGTGTCAAACATGTCTTTGACGATAAAACTCTATTAACTATTATAAACGCCTTAGTTTTTAGTAAATTGTATTATTGCTCTAATGTGTGGGCGAACACGTCACAGAAGAACATCCAGAAACTCCAAGCTGTTCAAAACTTTGCTTGTCGTATTGTTTGCAGAGCACGCAAATATGATCACATCACGCCACTGCTAAAAGAATTGAAATGGCTCCCAGTGGCAAAACAGTGCTATAATGGCATTTAAATGCATGACAGGTTGTGCTCCTGAATACCTTTCTACTAAGTTTGTCAAACGTGTACAAATTAGTAACAGTACCACCCGTAACTCCCAAACGTTAAATATCCCTCTTTTTAAAACAGCCAGTGGAACGAGTTAGACTTGTCCCTTAAATTATCTAAAAATGTTTTCATTTTTAAAAAGAATTTTAAATCTAAATTAATGCATGAGTTCCTGCATGAACAGTTTTGAATTTGTATCATATTATTACATAATTATATTAGTTGCAAATATTTTATTTTAACTGTAAATTGTATTAAGGATGATAATAAAGGATGTAAATGTAAATGTAAGTTTGTTAATTAGAGGAAATATAACTACCTTTGAGAAGTAATTTACATCAACTTTCCAATAGATCGGCCAAATCATGGACTAAACTCCCCAATGACTTAAGACTAAATGTTAGTGCATGTATTCTCATCAGTCGTTATAAAAATTTCGGTGATATATAGAGTAATTAGTAAATATATTTTAATAAATAAAATGCATAAAGTCTAAAGGATGTCAAACAATGGAAAAAAGTTAGAAAACGTCATGCATAGTTCTCTGACTAATATGTGGATGGGTTTTGTATATGGAATTTTCCGGAAGTAAATAGGCAACTTGCATGTTACCAAAGCATCATGGGAAAAATGGTAACCTTCACTTGCGCGCGAAATGGCCGCAGTGGAGCGAGCATTTTGCATGTGAGAAATATAGTTTATTTTTAACACCCTTTTCGTAACGTTTGAAAATTTTAAAACAAGGGAGAACTTTGTAATGCTATAAAGTTTGTTTTGACTCAAGTACAGCGAAATCGAACCGAAAATGGACGAGAAAATTCCTGTAGAAGAACTGAGGAGCGAACAGTGT